AATAAATAATAGTCTGTCAGTCAGTCCGTCAGTGAAGCTAGGTGAAGCTAGGTAAATTGATATATTCTAGATTAACGTAGGTATACCGGTTATTGTCTATAACCTTTTTATAAATTCTGTAGTTTTATTTACGAACTAGTGGTTCATGTACTAAAAATACTTTTTTAATGTTCCCAGTGATTAAAGAGTGCAATGTATTTGACTGTACTTCATCGACCCCTACTTAATCAGAGCCCCATCCATAGCCAATGACTACTTACGGAGTACTTTACGGAGGCAGAATTTTAATGTCCCATGTAACCCAGATCATAAGTTGATTAAGCAGACGTCGAGATACTCCAGAATATTCTTTTCCTGGGTGCATAAAACTTTATTTAACAAAGCATTTTCCATGCTCTCTACAATAGAAAAACATAAATTAAATTATAATAGCCAAGTACCAACGTTTTATTTTACATTTATATTTTAAAAGCTAAATGAAAATCTTGGAAATTCATAATGCAATCACAAAGGTTTTTTTCAACAAAAGAGTAAAATGACTCCCCGCTGTTCCCGAGCAACGTTTGAACCTGATCCTTTGGCAGCCGTATAACTAAGAAGTTTTATTTAAGTTAAATAACGCTCGGCAATCTAGTTCATTGTTCCTGCTTGACGAGATTTTAATTTAACAAGACAACAGCCAAGCTGTCTCCATTTTCTAAATAGTTGTGCAATTCCAACGAGAGAGCGACCGAATAAGTCGAGGAAAATGCAATTTCGATTCCCTGAACAAAAGAAAAATGGCAGAGCATCATAACACAGTCCGATTGTATTTACTTACTTATTTGAAATCTCTTAACAATCCGGACGTAAACAATCTGCTGGAGAAACGTCGCAGTCTCTCACAGGTGTGTCTGTGAAAAAATAACAGTTCGTCCGGACGCCAATCGTTTTCGCACGTCCGTCTAATCGATTGTATAGATATCGTTACGCTTTTACTGCTTGCCAACCGCACGCTTTTGTTGTGGCTTCTACATGGTATGATGAAAGGTACACATAGCTACTCGCAGCTGTGAGAGATTAAAATAAGCTGCATAATGTACAAATGAGCCTGGAATTTCGTTGATAGTTCGATACACTCGTATGTTACATGGTAGCGTACTATAGTGGTCAGATTCTGATATCTGCCTCAATTAGCAGACTATAATTTGTTGAGAGCACTTAGGGTTACTACTGTCGAATTATTCGACCGCAAACATACCTTTAGGTACAATTACATGGCTAATTACCTATTCCTCTATGCACTGAGTACTATTGTGGTGTTTGTATGAGTATATGTTTATATTAAACAACATTTTCAATATCAAAAACCCTTGCACTGGTTTCCTAAATATCATTTGTTCGATCCCTAGCCTTGTATGACGATAACTTAGTGCTTATGTCGTGTTCATCTTTGCATCAAATAAGTTTCTATGTATTAAACAGTATATTATTAAGAAGTAAATAGACATCGCAGGCTATTCTCGCTTTTTTTCTATTTAGAAGAAGTGTCAAGATCGACCATCTGAGTTCGGACAGAAGCTCCCGCGAGAGAATCGATAGATGAGGCTTGTCTGAACACGCCGCCCGATTCCGAAGCCGATCTCACGGAACACTGGTTTCGGTTACACTCAGCCTCAACCAATAGGCACGAGACAATCCTATTTTTATTTTCGAAATAACGACTTATTTTAGTTTTTATTTTGAAAAATAATAAAAATAGCTAGCTTTCTATTTGAGTAAGCAGAACGGTTGAACAATCTCATGGACTTTTAGATCTATGAGCTCACACAATGTTATTCAATGATACCGCCAAAAACCATGAAGTAATGCATTAATAAGATTTACAAAATTCATTTCTTAGCTAGTACATTTTTCGCGATTATGCCTTTTTTGTCGAATCAAAAAATTAGCTTGATAGACGCGTTGTATAATGAATGGACATCACTAAGGGGTCGGGCATCGCGTATCGCTTTAGGCAGTCGCAGTCGAGGCAGCCACGGCCCCACATGTTCCTCTGCTCGTGGTGTTACAGAGCGTTGCTGTTTCTGGCAGGTACTTTGCAAATTATATACCTTTACCTGTAAAAATACGTGTTCGTGGCGCCGTCGGTTGGATACTCTAAGTGGTGCCGACATTTGCAGTGTTTAAATTATAACACTCGAACATCGTCTGTGAACAAAAAACATGTGGTCGTTGACACGTGTGGAGTCGAGCGTGGATTTCGTCACGTGCTAACAGTCCGTCATATTTCACGCACATAAACTGTGCCACCACAACACAAGTAAATCTTCGGTGAAATCCCATTCAATTACCGAACTATGTTTTAGTTTCATTCGTCAAGTCAACACTCGGTCCCATTAATTCGACAGCGACCTGATCTCTGTTGTTTCCGAACCGATTTGTTGATCATACTGCAACCTTGTCAGTAAAGAACGAGTTTTAATTTAGGATGCGTTTACACTGTGCCTTGCACAATTTGATTTATGTATTTTTGTACGCTCAGCTTTCTGTTTCGCATATATCGACTGTTTGCCGGTGTCTGTTGTACATGATGAGAATATGCTCACAAAATAAATATTTTCTCTCGTTTTGCTATTCGTTTTAAGTCCGCTTTTCTTTACCCACTGGTCCTATCCTACTTTTTACTGGACATTCTGTATAAATCCTTTGGATAATGTTCATTATACCACGATAGTGAAAGATACCCGGTTGTAATATGATAAAGTGCACAGGCGGGCATTGACGTCGCTCTCCACAATCACACTGGATTCATGTATCGAGAGATTTTAATCATCGTATCTGACATTAGGTTTTTTTTTGTAAATAGAAACTGCAGTCGCAGTTTGGATATTTAAAACTTCGATAATGGGCGAAAATTTTCTGAGTGCCCTAATTTAGGGAGATTTATAAAAATATAATCGTAAAGATAACATATAGGTATTTTCTTGCCACTATTTGCCGTAACAAGTGCTAGTCTTCAATTGTCCAATGTCACCCCGCTCTATATGTCCCCGGGGTACAAATTAATGCTAATGGACATACGCTACACAAGTACCATAGCCATTATTAACTTGTGCAATCTTTATTACTTCGTATCCTCTTCGTAGTTTATGGTAACAATCATCGGTAGCCGGCGTACAATCGTGTTACCACTTAATAAACCAGACAAAGCTTTATTCACAATGACTGGCCTATCTGGTCGGCTGATGCGGGCCGCAGTTGCGCTCAACGTATCTATATAGCCTGCACTGATCTACACGCTTGGCATATTATTGCTTGTAATGGGCCCAACAATAGCCACAATGTAGCACAAAATTGGTACAGTCCTGTGCAGTCGGTAACAATAATCGGATTTTACCTTATTTTTTGTAAAAATGTAGTTCTCCCTAATTCCTTATTGTGGCTGTTAAATAAGTTAAGCCTTTGACATTTGACACAAAGCTCAATTCCATCTCTTTCACCACGACCAACATCATTAAGATCAGGGCGGCTTAGTGCACGGTCCGCGTACGTACATGTATTGTAACAACAATGTCGATATTACCAGTACATTGAAGTCGTGTATCTACGTCAGGCTATGTAGCTCGGTAGACACAATCGCAGACAACTCAATATTTTCAATTTTATGCAGCTATTTCTGAAGATCAGTGCAAACAACATACTCGGTAAAAGCTTTTATGGAATAACTGATAGATTTTATTTTGTTAACTGTATCAATCAATAGAATGTGCATTTGGTTAGTGATACCTAAAACTGCATATTTTTGCTCATAATGAAGCTATATAGGAAATAATCAGGAACTAACAGTGGCTTTGATTCGGTCAGTTAATCCATGTTGTGAAGCATGTTGATCTAGTAGTGTTGACATAGTAGATACAGTACTTAATCTCCAGAAAGCTGTTAATAACAACCCATTAAATAATTATTTGTCGAATGTGTTACGAGCAGCTTTGTGTTTAATTGTAATCTGTTGGTCATCCCCGTGGAAGAGGAAGTTAGCTATTTTTGGAAAAATGTTTAAAAGGATGCGTAAGTACCTAATGAGGCCCAAAATGTACAGGGTGTTGAGTATAGTCGTACTGTTTTCTCCATGCCCCTAGTTTGTTCTTGAATTTGTTGTACAAAACTGTGACATTGGATTTTTTTAAACAATAAGAAATAACACTATTTGTTAAATAATAAGAAAATTAATTCTAAACAATACAAAGAGAAAAGAGCGTATTCATTTTTAGAAGGCCGGCAACGCACCTTGGCTCCTCTAGTGTTGCGAATGTCCATGGGCGGCGCTGATCGCTTACCATCAGGTAATCCGTCTGCTCGTTTGCCTCCTATTCCATAAAAAAAAATAACGCAAAAGTTTACGGATTTAAAGTTTTACAAAATTATCTTAGTTATTAGCTTGTAGCAAGCCGGAGCAGGCTCTTGTCTCGTAGACTTCACAAAATGCAATAATCCATTTGGAGATGGAAATCTCAACTGCCATCAAACCGTACACGCTGCTAGAGGGGTTAGTTCGGTTTGGACGGGTAATATTACACTGTCAGCCACTGTCAGCCAAAGCACATTACCATCTACTAAATTGTTACATCTACAATATTTAACAACTTAAAACATTAAATAAATGTAAACTGTAATTTTATTTAATCTAAGTAAAAACTTACGAAAAATATTTTTTATGCAACACAATTCGCACAATCGTCCCCATTCTTCTCAAGTCTTTTTGACTATATTGCCGATGATGATGATTTTTGTTAAAAACACACGTAGGTAACATAACGAATACAATTTTGCCAGTCCAAAATTATTGTTTGGCTCACAAAATACTGAAATAATATATCAAAAGAGAAACCTGCTTTGTATGACCATTTACTTGTTTTCACACTTCATAAAAGTTCAAAAACCTACCTATTTTTTTAGTTTTAAAAAGTAATTACGAGTTTATTGGTTCCTACTAAAGATATTTTTATTGTTCTTTGCAGAAGCCTCCAACTCGGACCCTGGCGGCAGTGTGAGCGCCGCTAGCCCAGTGAAGCAGCGCAAGCCTTTCGGCGGGTGAGTGATTTGAACGTTATCTTACGTTACCTTCTCTGCGTAGCACGAATATTAAGAAGCACGGTTCATCAATCAAGCTTTATAATTTAGGATAATCTTTTGTTGGATTCCAATGTAAAATGTTCACACTTAGACCACATAGAAACAAATATTATAAATAATTAAAATATTTCCGAATTAACCTAGCTGTTGGTAGCGATAGTTCTGTTTATTGACACGCTTTTACGTAAAGTGTAGTCAAGATAACAATTTCAAAACAAAAATAAAATTTGCATGGAACAATACATGCCCTTATCTATTCATAAAACTGAAAATGAATGATTCGTCGTTTTGTTTCTTAGTCATCTTTTATCTTGGGTTGGTTTTATCTAATTCCTCCGACGATACCGCGGCAGCGCGGTTCACGCGCTCAGTCGCTCGGTGGTGCGAAGGCGTCGCACGCGCAGACGACGATGCACGCGGACGCGGACGACTCGCGGCTCTGTTGTGCCAACTGTTTCCATCATATCAGGTTGTTTGTTTCACCGACCGTTATCTTCACTCGAACATCTACACTCATTTATTCATGCTTCAATTCTGCAGGTTCTCAATGTGTTCCGATAATGTGTCAGTGTCCGCGTTCGAACTTGTTTGCTGTGGTGTTGTTTGTGGTACCATCCCGAATTGTTTATCCGAATGCATCATACTAATAATTCAGGCCGCAAAAACATTACGTAACGGTTTGACGTAAACGAATACGTTTTGGTGTTGTTTCTTTAAACATTGAATTATGAATTCGATGAGGATTGACCACTCCTTGATTTTTGAAAAATTCGAGACGCGCTGCGATCGAGGAAACAGTTTTAAATTTTAAATCCCCTGCTCTAAAGAATATTTAAGCAGTTTTAAAATCTTCTTTCAGTGTTTTAACTGGATAACTACTTGGATAATCCTTTAACTCAGTGTTTGAAGTGAAAGCTTGTAGAAATACTTATTCATTATGTGTTTCATGACTGACGCCGAAATACTGAAAGGCTCATTTTTAAATTGTACTTAAATATATTGCCCTATCCGTCATTATACAAAGAATTTATAGTGACAGGACTATAATCAAGCGCGACTTAAAATTGAGTAACGTTTGAGTATTCGGGGGATAGCGTCCCACAGTTTTGGTACTTCCTGAAGTACCAGAAGTCCACCTTCTCTGTGAGAGTGGGCTTAATTCTGGAACAAACTGCTTGTTTATCATGTCTACGTTTTATATTATCTTTCGACAACTGAATAATTTTTGCATATTTCTTAATATTCATTTTCCTCAATATTTCACACATTTATGTGACTAAAGACATGCTATTGTACGGTTTTCATTTCTAACAGTGCTTCACCACTCTGCGTCTAGTATTTGTTAAAACTAAATAGTAAGTTTATTGGTTTTGTTTTAAAGTCTTTCCGTACATGGAGTACAACTCTATTAATACCTGCTTTGTAATGTATGAAGTTCCCGCCTGTGTATGAAGTGGAACCTGACTGAAGCTAATTAGCTTTCCGTAACTTCCTCGTAGTTCGGTACCGCCAACTCTTTATTTGCGATTTATCTTGCTTTCTCTTTTGTTCGAAAGCATAGTCAAACAGGACGATTTCAACATCTGAATAGGGCAGTCTGTTAGCACTACTGGAACTTTTCATTTTCTGAAAAATAAACGAATCTCTTTGTGATTATATTATTAAATTTTTACTACGACAAATACTTATCACAAAACACCCTTATGTCAGTGTTATCAATTCTTTAAAATGTGCGTTATCTTATCTCGTGTATTCACTTTGTACATACCATGCAAAGATAATCAAATTGGTACTCTGTAATATATTCACATCAAACGCAAATCACTTTAGAACTGAACTCCAGCTGTAAACGAACGAATTGGATCGATCTGTCGAATTGGACGGCTCTAGCTAGGTGTCTGTTTGCAGTAACGTACGGCGACAGGTTGATGAGTTCATTACCTAATTGATATGTAATTAGGGTGTCGTCGATGGTCGTGGCGCGTCGGTGTGACAGGCGGCCGCCGGTTGCGGGTGCCGCTGGGCCCGGCGGCCGGCGACGTAACGCCGACGCCGCACTCGTACACCCGTACACACATACACGCGCTCATTACAATTACAACATTATCGCGACTGTATCTCGTCTGATACCGCTCCTTGCTGACCGTCCCCCGATCAGATTATTTACTCCTTCGAAATAGAACTTAGATAACAGTGTTTGTGCACATTTTGTATGTGAGTCAGTGTACACGTGACCGTAGCAGTGAACGTGTGTGACAGTGATGGTAGCGCGACGTTGCAACTATGTGGAATCAAGTTGTTTGTGTAAAGTAAGTCTCGAGTGCTGACCGGTCGTCGCTGTAGTGTGATGTGATCTGGTGTGAGTTGCGCAACGCGGGTGGCTCTTGGAGAACCAAACGACTTCCAGTGTAGTTGCAGTTGGGGCATTTTTTTTTTGTCAGTGGTCGCCGCAGTGCGACCGCAATGTGGTGACAAGTCCTTGGTTACACGTACGACGTACACTGGACCGCTCGTCCGCACTAACATTAATCGAAATCATTCAGATATATCCAATACGTTAATTCCCGCAAGTTGTCCACTGAACTTATCTATAGGTACGAACCTTGTATCGGTATTATTAATCACAACCATGAAACCTTTTCATGTGGGTGATAACTGTCTCGATTTGTTTCAATGTTTCAAGTTTCTGTGCAGCGTGTGTAGTTGTGTACAGCTGCGACACTGACGAAGTAACTCGTTCACTTTTTATGAAGTTTCAAACCGAGACGCCTTGTTGAAGTATTCAGTGATGTAAATAGAGATGGGCACTGGGAAAAAACCCAAAGGAAAAAACCTGGGTTATTTCCCATTTCGGGAAAAAACCCGGTTTTTATGTGGGAAAAAACCCAATAGGCGGGTATTTTCATTTATAATGATCTTATTCTATTTTTATTTTCAGAACTAAATAAATAGGTACTTTGTGATGCGCATATACCTACATTCACTCAAAAAAGTATCGGGAATGGATGATTTGTTTATGGTTCCAAATTCAAATTTTTGTTTTTATGTAGTTGTTAGATTGGCACAACTGTTTTCCATTTTGGCGCGGAGTTTGAGTTGCATCTGTTATTTATATTAAATACAGCGCTGGTTTCAGAAATATCATATATAATGTATATTGTGAATTTCATAATGGACACAAATATCGATCAAAGAGTTTGTCTTAAATTTTGCATCGCCAATGGAATTTCGTGTTCGGAGTCACTAAAAATGTTACAGAAAGCTTACGGTGAATCGACTTTATCAAAAACTCGTGCTTATGAGTGGTTCAAAGCGTTCAAAAGCGGTCGAGATGTGATGGAAGATTTGCCTCGCTCTGGTCTGCAACTGTAGTTAACATCGCAAAAGTGAAGGAAATAGTGACTGAAAATCCCCATTCAACTCTGAGAGAGATAGCCGCCGAACTTTCTGTATCTCACGAGTCGATCCGTACCATTTTAACTAATCTATACTATACATTAAAGGGTATGAAACATGTTGCTGCTCGACTAGTTCCAAAAGATCTAAATTTTCTCCAAAATCTCAATCGCATGAAAGTCGCTGAGGATATGCTAGAACGAGTCAGTTTGGACCCAACATTCATGAAACGCATTGTTACTGGTGACGAGACGTGGGTTTATGAGTTTGGCATGCAAACTAGTCAACAAGCTTCGGAGTGGCGCCTTCCAACTGAACCGAAACCGAAAAAACCACGCCAAAGTCGATCAAAAGTCAAAGTCATGTTGACTGTTTTCTTTGACTATCGCGCTGTTGTGCACTCTGAATTCTTACCGGAAGGTCTAACGGTAAATAAAGAATATTATTTGAGCTTTATGCGGCGTTGAAGAGAGCAAATTCTACGAAAAAGGCCAGATTTGTGGAAAGAAAATTCTTGGATTTTGCACCACGAGAAAGCGCCTTCGCACAAGGCTATCATTGGTGGCATCAAGGTGAACGAATTTTTGACCAAACACTCAACAAATACCATCCAGCAACCACCATATTCACCAGATATGGCTCCTGCTGACTTTTTTCTTTTTCCTAAACTCAAATTACCACTTCGTGGCACCCGTTTTCAATCGATAGAAGACGTAAAGGAGAATTCGCGGCGAGAACTAAACTCAATTCTGGAAGCAGCGTTTAAAAAATGTTTTGATGAATAGATTATTCGTTGGCGCAAGTGTATCGTCTCTAAAGGAGCATACTTTAACTCGTTGAGTACCGTCATTACAGACAATTAAAGAACAATAGGTTGCGGTCACCGGTGACAGTTTAAAGGTGATAAAATAAATTTGGATGAATAACAGACATTTTTGTATTATTGATCTTTTCCCGGTACTTTCTTGACAGAGTAGTACTTAGCACCAGCGTGTATAAGGCACTAGCTGTTGTCTGTTATTTGAAACGTTAAAATGTGTAGTCTATTTCAAGGACTAAAACATAACCAGCATATTTATTATAACACCATAAAGACGTCTTCTTGTTTTATAATAAGTTTTTACTGCGCTCTGTGATGGAATGTTAACAGCAGAAAAAATACCTATTAAACTTTAAAGAATGTTTGACTAAAATAATATAATTAAAACAACGAGAGATACTCTTACTAACAATCATTTATTATACTTTACAAAAGTTACAAAACTGTAAATTTACCGGTAAATTTCGTTCGTAAAAAAAGTAGGTATCAAAGTCCGTAAGAGTAGCAGTTGTTGTCAATTCAAAGGATTAGGTAACCAAAAGTCCACCAAACAAAATCCAAGTCGTCAATTAAACCAACAAATTAACACGAGTGCGCACAGTATGAAGCCGAAACAACGTGTGAGATAGATAGATCACCAACGCGCTCGCCCCTCTACTACCTGCTTCCCTGCCCCTCTACCCGCTCACGTATTTTCGGGTTACCTGTCGCTAAGAGCGGAGGATCACACACAAACAGACAGGATTTTTGTTTAATTTCATTTTATTTCATTTGATAGTAGGTCCCTAAGGATATTAAGAACGTTATTACTGCAATATGAACATAAACAAAGTTAGATTAGCTCTAACTTGTAGTAATAGTTCTTAAATAGTACGTACTATATGATATGTACATAATCTACACATTACTTATTTGTTACATGTGTTAAATATGAAAAAACCCGAATATTTTCCCATTCGGGAATTTTCCCCGGGTTTTTTCCCGGTTTTTTCCCATATTCGGGTTTTTTCCGGGTAAAATCCCATCTCTAGATGTAAAACTCGAGCTTGGTAGACCATACACTAGAGATAATGAGGCTTGCTCTTTACCATTAGTCATCGTATGCTGTAATTTTTTGATAAGCAGTGTGTATGAAGTTTTGCGGCATGCATCAAGTTGGACCATCTGCTAATTATGAGGTCATATTTTACAAGTTTAGGTTAAAACTGACTTCGTTGACTCTATTGTATTCCTATGACCATTATTATTGATGCCATCTTACCAACTTTGGGTTTCATCATGGTTCGTAGTTTCATAGTATTGAAGTTCATATTGTTGTCTAATTCCGGGCACCATAGCATCTAAAACTTTTGTCTAAGGAATCCTTAAGGGAAACGTTTTACTGTGAATTCAATCTTCGTCTACTGCTGCGTTGGTATTAGTTTCTACTTTCTAGTGTTTCTACGTATTCAGTGAACAAATTAATCCCCTGTGCCTATACATTACGTATATACCTACATATTTTGTATTGTTATTAGCTGTTTGAGTGCTTGTGTATTAGCTGTTTCAATATTTGCGAAGTATAGCGTAGATTTCTTTTATAATCTGATTGTCCTTGACTTACTAGTCGACGCATTGAAATCTTGTGAGGTTTGAATCCTAGATTTACGACTTATTTTCTTAAATTATAATTTATGAAGTGTTGTTGATACCTCCATAACGACGTGGAATGGTTAAGAAACTTACGTTTCTATTGTATAATACATAATAATATGTATAAATAGAGATTTACACAAATGATGCGACTAATCTGATCTTGTTGTCAGGTTTCTAATGAAGTCTTACGACTCACTTACTCAAAGTATAAGGTTTTTTCTTGATCCTTTGTTAATAAACCGTATATTTTTCGTTGTCGAACCGAATAAGTAGAATCAAAGAAGACGCACCGGTACTTCGAAACTAATATCAGAATTCATTCGTATTATTCGTAAACAATCCGATAAACCTATAATTGAATATGTTGTCAATGTCTTTCAAATCGTATATTGAATTGACTTTGAAGAAAAGAAAAAATATTTCCTAGAATTGGTATTTACCAGAATAGAAACGGTAAATACGATTGAGATGTTGATAGGAGAGTGAAAGTGGAAAACACCGTCAATGATGTCTTAGGTTCTATCATTCCTAGGGAGGTATATTCGTCGCGGAGAACCTAACGGGTAACCGGGGCTCCGGCTCGACGTGCAGGAGAAGGAACGGGGTGGTTTTTAGTCAGTAAGAGTCTGACACTCCCTCCCGCCTCACCCAGGCGGGAGCAGTCATTCGATGATTTTCCCCCCTTAAAAAAAAGGGAGGTATATTCGAACGAAGCTCGCCTTGCCATAGTGCAGGGAGTTTTGGCACCAACGCTGATATATGATAGTAGAAACTTTCGTAGAAAAAGTACGAATGTGATGTTGTAAATGAAGGTTAGAGCTTCGGGTGGTACTTGTGAATAGATAAAGTGAAAATGGGTGTGATCAGGAAGCAATATTAAACAAGAAGATAGTGACAAGAATTGAAAGAAGTACTAATGTAATAGTGGTTTGATCTTTATTGGGATGCTGGAAAATATATGAATAGGGTGTTTTGAGCTAGAATGCATGGGGACGTTCCATTTGTCATCCACGTTCAGAACGTCCAGCTAATAAGCGGACACACGTGAAAGGGCTAAATTAAAAGCACCCTCAATCGACAAGAAAACATAAGCCATTGATGAATGTAGATGAAACGAAAGAGGTATGCCTGTACTGTGTAGTTTCGCATTTTTTTTGTCACAGTGTGAAACAAGCATGGTGATTCGTATGTAAAACATTCATATTATTTGTGAACGAGGTTGCATGACCATGCGTTAAGATTTACTGCGCCTGTCTTCCAACCAGGAGTGCTTAGTGACATACTTCACCATTAGTTACCTATATCCCAAGTCCCAAAGCTCCCATTTTCGCTTATATGGTCCTCCCAAGACTATGGTTACATAACTTTGTTTTATTTGAAAACATTGCTGTATGTACTAAAATTAAACACTCCGTATTCAGTTGTAGATATTTCACAATCTAGATTAGATTATCCAAATTGTACTTAATGCCATATCGATAATTTGGTTTATTTTAACTCTACTGGCGCAGCATTAGTGTTTGGTTAGTAGTAGGTAGTAACAGTACTATTCAAAGAACTCGAAATAAAAGTGTGCCATTATGCTCGTATTTTTGCAAAGCCAGTTACAAAGAGCTAGGCAGCCTTATTTCATTTAGAGGACGGACGTCATTACGCTGATGAGCATCATCTTTTGAGCTGAACGTTTTCGCCAAGATAACTCGCGATGCCTAACTATCTATGACGCAGCCTGTACCAACATACGTTTACTAGTCTCTGAGGTGATAAAAGATGACTAAGCAAATGTACTTGTTAAATGACTGCCGATTTTGTTAACATAATCAAATATTATGTTAATTTAAACGTGAAAAAATTTGTATGTTACGAACGTAGAGACTTGGCTGCCGAATTCCGTACGAAGCGATATTATTGTAGGCATTTTAAAAATGTATAAGACAAAATCATGATAACTAACAACAAGGAACATAATGTATGTATCAAATTTTTGTGTTTCAAATGTCAACTGTAACTGAGTGTGTCAATCAAATAAGAGGAAAACTATTATTAGTAGTGACGCACGATATAATCCAGTACACACATTGCGGTTTTCATATTGGATTACAAATAGGTACATAGTTATTGTGGTACATAGTTGGCCATGGTCAGCGTAAGACGCTGTGCCTAAATAGTTGCAGATGTGAATCCTGATACAAGACTGGCAGTGTCTAACAGCTCCGCTCGTTACTGAGGTTAACCACAGCCCGCAACCCGCGGTCATACTACAACCTACAGACTACTGACTGATGTCGGAACAAGCTCGTGTTCACTTTACTGAACACAATCAATGCAGGACTTTCAATTAAGCCGCATATACCTATAATAGTAAATGTTTAGTAGATACCAGGAAACATCGCAACGAATTGAATTAATTATACCCTTAAAACACTGTTGCTGTGCACCAGTCTACAAAAACGTCATTTAATATTTCGCTGGACTGCCCCGAATACCTCTCGTTTGCACAAAACTTCAAATTCCCTTTAGAAATGTTTGCACAAAAGAGCAATACGGTACAGCTGGAAATTTCAATTACATTATAAAAGGTTTATTGAAATTAAGCTTCGTCGGAAAATATACATAGTTTAGGTACGTTTCGCAAATTCTACTTGTAGACCACGTTTTGTTTAAGTACCGGAAAATGTAAATTAATTTTCTATTGCTAAATATGACCAAATAATTGAATAGTGGCTCGTTTAAGCCTTAAGAGGCTTCGTAAGGTAAGCCTTACGAATTATATGAAATATTAATGAAATCGTGGTGGATACACTGTACTTGCTTACAGACCGTGTTCTTTTATGAATGTCAATTAAACCGTAACAAATTAAACGTTTGAGGAGAGCATTAAAATGTGTCAATATGATTTATTTTTACGCGTCTATAGTTAAAAAGTATTGTATAATCAATTAATCACTAATCGGTAAAGGCAAATACAAAAAATATGAGTGACCTATGTTATATATTACATATTATTAATAAATGTTTGTAATTTGATGTTAAAATACAGTGTAAGATTGATTTTAATGACCACTCATTGTTGTCTACGTTTCATAGGAAGCGATGGCTCGGCTTACGCAAACAGTCTCAAACCAAGACCGACAAGGGTGCCAGCGGCGCCCAATCTCCAGCTACCACCGATAAACCTGTGCCACTTAAAAAGATACCATCAGACAAGAAGCTTAAGGTATGTTTATGCTTGTTTCTACTAATCAATTTCGACATCGCAAAACATCTCTCAATTAAAAATTGAAATGACAACATGTATTTTCATCAGGTCTTCTTGTACTTAAGAAACTTTAATTTTACCACAATATTGTGCATTAAAAGTTAAGATTTCGCCATTATGTACTGTCATAACTTGACTCGGTCTCATTATGTCGTATCAACAAAAAATATAAAGCTAAAGTACGGCTTACATAAAGATCATCGATCCAAGTTGAGGGAATCCAATTAAGTACATATATAATTTTCTTATCGCTTACAGATTGGTTCTTCGTGTAGGTACATTAGCCCATTATACATGCTCTCGTGGAAAACAAGCCTTGTTTTCCTTTTTAATTTTTCTTATGATTAATGATTTAATTGGTATAGCTCCCGTATGCTGCCGCCGTTAGCGATAATGGTCGGGCCGATGACCACGACGTAGGAAAGGGAGTGCCAGGCGTGCTCGACGAAGCTGAAGATGAAGCCGCCGACGTAGAGCTACCACCACCAATGAAGCCGTTACAGGTATAATTGTGTTTCGAACCTAGCAACCTGAGTGACGTCCCGTTCGCTCTCCGAAGTGGATTGTGTCAAGATCAAATCCATCAGCATCGACGTACCTACACCAATCAGAACGCATCCAAGCAAATTATTCGACCAAAGGGCTCTCTGCTCATGTTTAAAGCATGTTTGCACTATATAGGTACACAAACTCTGAGGCCATTTGTGGCGACCGAACGAAAAGCATACGATATGAAACGAAGATTTTAACAGTACTTCCTAAAAGAAATCATTTCAATTTAAGTTAAAGCTGACCGATTAATTAGCAATTACGGACTTTGTACATCATTGTGGCTAGATTTCGTAAGTAAACAAGTAAGAGTATGGAATGTTGACGTTACATAATATAATTATTCAGTTATTTACTGGGGTTAAGTCTATATAGTTACTAAACTTTGTGGAACGCTTCGTCTTACTAAGATAAGGAATCTCGGGAGTGTTAAAGTTGTGTAGTCCCGATATCTCGTGAGTTGTTGTCGATAGACGGCTAACAACAACTACGTGACAAGTTTTGTGAATTCTTGCACTTGCAGGAAGAAACTTCACGTCTTCTACTTAGTCTGGATTCGCTTCCGTAGATGTGTAAGCGCCTCTACTATAATCACAAGCTGTTCTTACAGTGTGACTTAACGATGTCACATTGAACTCCGCGTTCATACCATTAAAACTCTTTGAACTATGTCCGGATAACTTTTTACTGAAGTGAGCAAGCAAGTACGTGATGTCATGCATATTGTGCACATCGCCGACATTTGCAACATCGTATTCAAAGTGAGCTGGGCTTATAAGGTGCGGGTACACGCGGCCCGGGTACATGCGATCAAACAGGCCCCATGTCGCTTATTATGTTATCCTTCCACTAAGTGAAATTTCAACACATTGTTGCTTTTGTATTTGAGTTTGTTCTGTTCGCCGTACCTTTAATATCCTGTTTCAGTACAATGTTCGGTATTTCAATCAATACGCAATTAATATACTATGTTGTTAATAATTAAGGAATACTGTTTTAGGGGCCGATGAATTTCCTATTAACTACGTAACCACTATGTATGAAAACCATTTGACAGATTTATTACTAACGTCATTACCTCACGGCTTAGTACGAGTGTGTTTTACGTTAAAGTAATCGAAATGAGAAACCGTTCGGGGCGCTCTGATTGGCCGGCTCCAATGAACTAACCAATCAAAACGCCGAACGCGGTCCCGTTTCAATTACTTTAGACGTAAAACAATCTAGTACTAAAGCCTCTGAACATTTCATGATATAGTTATTTTATTCGTTGTACAATCGTGCCATGCATAAGCGAGATGCGTTTTTCAATTCCACTTCTTTCAATAAAACCCGGTTGTCACTTTGTGGAAGGGTAACTGAATATTCTTAGCAAATAAAGGGTTAGAGAACTTTATCCACGCTGACGTCGTAATTTTATAATTTTCATTTACCGAACGGATAGGCGGAATTGCGTGTATATCTCGTGCCATCAGTTGCAATGAGTTCGACAATAGGCCCACACTGTTACACACATCGTAATATTATGACCAGGGCCCGTGGTCCTACCCCGTGTCCCTATGTTCGGTTTGATCCAGAAATCCAAGGACATCCTATAGATATTACGGGTGACGTAACGGTAAACAAAATTAGATCGTGTTTAGTCTATAAAAATGGTTTGTTTTACTTCTTCAATCACGTTATACGTGGAGCGAAATACCACGGTAAGTTAACCGTACTAATAATTACATGGAAAACTGTCTAAGAATATTTTCTTTGTTAAAAATGTTGTTTTGTATTTCGATGTTATTACTATAGAATACGAAAACTGTTTTAGTAATTCTATTACTAAACCATTTTTCATGTTTAATTGTTTATGTTTTATATAGATTTCTATTCAAGTGCACTTCTTACGTACTTAATATTAAGACTTTAGCACTTTCCTATTACATATAAAGTCAAACCATTCACAAACTTTTCCAATGAAAAGTTGAAGACATCGTAACGAATTATACCAGAAACCAGCGAACAGTACTCTACCTTTCTTCCTCTCTGTGTATTTAGTGTCTCGTAATGCATGAGCGGACGTCATACACAAGTACCGCACAGTGTATTCTATACTAAGCATGTGATGTATTCTGTCAGAACCCGCAGTCGGTGCTGCAGCAGGCACCGCAGCCTGCCGCCGCGACCGCGCCGCCCGCCGCGCGAGTAAGTACCCACGCCTCGGCTCTATGCTCACCGCCACTTGCCTACACTTACAAACTCGGTCTTCTCTCGGGAATCTGGTATACTCATATTTGGCCTGCACCGGGCGACATTTTCAGAATTCGATGGCTATGGATGCCATGGACAGTAATGGAGGAGCTGCCGATATTGACGAGATCTTACAAATCGTCACTGCAAGAATGGTTCGGCTCTATATCAGTGCATGAAGTTTGCATGTTTGGATTTTCCTTAGTTGCATTACCCGTACTGTTCAACCGTGGTGTCCTATTATATTTATACAAATGTGCAGTATAATCAAAATCTGCGTAAACTTCGTGTATTACAAAAACAAATTGTTTAAATACTCCACGTTAAATTAAAGACGTTCCTAGTTTCGCAATTGAGTGTATTTATGAAGTAACAACTTTGAACAGTATGCGGTGCAATATTTCTGTAGCAAATTTTCTTTCACGTCGTTCTTTGATAGAGTCGGCAATATTTATTTGATTATGCTCAAACAAACATCATGCAAAAGAGCTTCAGAGCGTGTGTGGAAACAGTTGTTGTTGACAGCTCATTTTTATTTCATTTTGTTGAAAGTCGCTTCGTATCGCATGCGTTTGTTTCTTTACGCCTTTTATTCTGAGTTTAGTTATCTTGCATGGTTTTATTTTGTGACTATAGTCGGTTAGCGGCCGTATTCGATACGACATAGTATCGAGCAAGTTACTCATACGTATGAATCGATTGAATTCGCATTCAGTTAACATCTTTTCAGAGTGTAATTGTACTAGTGCAACGGTTCGCCCCGCAATCATCACGTGCTAAATAAATGGATGTGTCGATGATGATTTTATATCGAAAAAAAAAAATGCATTTAGTTAAGCGTATTGTCATTAAAGTTTGGTAGTTTCATTGCGAGAATATATCTTCCGAACATTCTATTTTATTGTATGTACCGTTCAGGAGCAGCATGGCGTCGCTTCATCATCTGGCAGGAACGGTGAGGAAGAAGAAGCAGGGCCCGTGACACCCGGCCCAAACTCGTATGAAGATATACTCAAGAAAAGGGAGTACGTGCTTCGGGAACTAGTCGAGACTGAGGAAATCTATGTCTCGGACTTGCGCCTTGTGTGCGAGGGGTACATGCGCCACGTGCAGGTAAGTTGACTACTCCCAGCGTCAGTGAACACTGAACTTATTGATGTCCTCTATTGTGTCTGATTTTGTAATTCTTGTTGGATGGAAAGATATAATCTTTGGATATTGACACTGCAACACTGGTGTGCAGTAGCTCAAAACCTTAAATGCATGTGTCAAAAATATTTTGAATAGGTACACATAATACTTTTTGGGTATTGCTATACGAAGGTTGACAAATCGAATATGAGACGAAGTAATTATATTTAAATATGGGAGAGTCATGCTTCGGTAAATGGGCCGTCTCGACCGGAGTGATACCACGGCCTGACAGAAAACAGACGTGAAACAACGCTTGCATTGTGTTTTATCGTGTGAGTGAGGTTACCGGAGGTAGAATTACCCTTCCCCCATCCCCAGTCCCTGAATCCCCAACAATCCTCAAATTCCTAATCCCCAAAAGGCCGAGAAGGCACTGATAACGCCTCTGGTGTTCCGGATGTTCATGGGCGGGGCCGATTGCTTACCAACCGGTGATCCATCTGATCGTTACCGCGGCATATAAATCCAAGTACCTTGCTATTAAACAATATTACATGTATGACCGGACACGATATAGCCTCTCCTCGCATCACACAAGGCCGAGGACTCGAAGAAATTAAAATGAAAGTTCATCGATCCGATCTTTACGAGCAATTAAATTAAATATTTGTGTACAGGACCCGAAGGCCGAGCCTGGCCTGCCCGAGGGCCTGCGCGACCGACGTCATCGAATGATATTCGGCAATATCGAGGCTATCTACGAATGGCACCGCGAGTAAGTATACACATTATATATTAACTTTATAATTAAAGAGAAGACAACGCGTACTGACGTCTGTATGCTAGGAGGAGAACCATCTGTCCGTGTATACTTCATTTTTTTACGAAACTTTTACTACAGCAATATCTACTCTTGCGAATGTCTGCTACCGCGCTTTGCGTATTTTCTATACTTTACGTGGTTGTCTATTGAAATATAAACCAACTATTTCGGCTCATTATTAAATTCCATATGGTAGTAGGTATTCACATTCATTAATATCAGTTTCAGAAAGTTTTTAGTTCATAGGAAATTTTTGCTCAGCCATTTCAAAATTTACCTGACAACTGTCAGCCACTGACATCGGCAGACCACAATAGGAACATACCATCATAAAAGTTAATTTCAGAACAGTTTCACAGTTCGCGTAAATTAATTTCGCTTCGTGGTCTCTGTAATTTGAACAATAAGGGCTAAACCTAACTTATTGTATAGACTTACTAACAAACGCAAATATAATTGTGGGCAAATAAATGTTGACTAGGTAGGATCATACCAATGAAAATAGGTATATAAAATCTCACAGTTGGGTGAAAAGGTTATTCTCTTCTAGGGTCTATTTTAATGAAAACATCGATAATAGTTTGTATAACGCTAGCGATATATTTAAAGTTAGTTATGGGCTTGCGCTAATGAAATACAATGCCATGTTGTATGTCCATACATGATGAAATGTTTGGTTTGTGCAGCAAGTTTCTGAAGGAGCTCCAGTTATGCATCGAAGAGCCCGAACTGCTGGGACCGCTGTTCCGACGGTTTTTGGAAAAACGCATGTTTCTGTACGAAGCATATTGCCGAAACAAGCCTGTCTCGGAGTACATTGTCTCTGAGCATGACAGTTACTTCCAAGAGCTACGAGTCAAACTTGGCCAGAAGTTGCAGGTGCGTTGGCAAATATATTGCTTGTAATCATTGTAGGCGTCGACGTATGCGGTTAATTATTTAAATTTTGGATTTGAAAAGTTTTCATGACTCATTAATCACTAGCCATTATCCACTAACCGCAAACGTCAGTGCCTACTCTTTGATAATTGACTGATGTTCTTGAATCTTCAAATAAAAGTTAAACAAAGTGACTAAAGCCATTGAAAGCCATCGCATGGATCATAAATAAAATACTAAACAAAGTGCACAGAGCCAAGACTGACACTGTTAATGCACCTGCGGACTGACAGATATAAACATTCCTAGAGTTTTCACTCATAGTTTTATATACCAAGCATATCTACCAACCTTGAACTACTTGATGATGGAACTTTTATAACTGTCCTCCTGGATGATCCACCGACACTTAGTGTCATCGCATCTTTCATCTCATGATACATATGTTACATTGCGAGTGTATCGTAATATACTTGGATACGCGTTGCCTATCTCTGCCTCAATGCGACGCAAGAATAGACGCCGAATGTAATCCATACATAGGAAAATGTTGCGGTGGCCACTTGTGTAACCAGTGCGCCGCATGCTTGTTGCCACATCGATGGTATAAGTAATATGCTTGATTGTAGGTCCGCCTTAGGGAACGCACTTACCTCCCCGGAGCCCGCGGTACTTTGTCTCAGGTACTGATGGAGTCCAATGTTAAAATATCAAGCAATGCTGGTACTTTCACCCTGTTCTAAACTAGAACAGTTCGGTCCTTTCTCATTGGCCACGAAAATTATTGCTAACCAACAAATAATTTCAGCAATTTTTCAAAATTTAATATTTGGTAACAAACTAGTGTTACCAGCTATGCTCTGAGATTTATTGTAAAAGTATGCACGTTTAGCGCGAGGGCCGCTAGCGTGTATATAAAGTATGTTTCACGGAACACGTTGGGCTGACAAGTGTAAGCCCGGGAATGTGTTGCGTGTTATGTATATTTGTAATGTTAGTACCGCCGCTCTCTCGACTGCCCTCTACCTCAGGTATACGCTTGCATGACAGGCTGAAGTCGCGCTGCCACCACCACAATTCATTTACTTTTTGTTTTGGGGGATTTTATGTTTATTTCCATCACTACTCTACACGCACACACGCGCTGCTGAATGATTGGTGTTGTCGCTTCCTGTGTCTGCATGGCCGCAGTGTCCTCGGCACATGTGCTGTTTACTATAACACGAGGTCGTCATATTTCAGCTCGGTGACCTGTTGATTAAGCCCATACAGCGGATACAGAAGTATCACCTGCTGGTGAAGAAGATACTGTCGTACTCGGAGCATGCGAACGCGCCGCCGCACGTGATCGCGGCATTGCGCGAGGCGGTGGAATGCACCGATATTATACCCAAAAATGCTAACAACATGATGGACGTAGGCCGCCTCCAGGGCTTCGCGGTAAGGATACCTTCGCATACTATTTTTAGTTGTAATTTTAATATGTCTTAAGCAACTGCGATATATTTTATATTTAAGCAATGCGATTTTAGCGCTGCAATACTTGAAGCCGAGCCGCTCAATGCGCGTTAGCTTAACACAGCTGCAAGCAGCGAATTATGATACTGTTCATTAAAATCGCAGGTTATATCTGCCGCTACCTTTGATTTCTGTCCTCTTTGGATTTGTCACTTCATCTCCGACAGAGGAAATCTCATTTCAAGCTGTCTGCTTGAACGCGTTTTATGCAATTACGAGTGAAGTCTGTCGAGCACAATGCTTAACGTTGTCTATTCATTTGGACTAAATGTTAATAAAAAAATTGTGTACCAGCTCTTTTCATGTACAGTTGAGTACATCTACGCCAGTCCAATTTGACTATCAAGCTACTCTTCGAGAAATAAATCAGCAAAGTGCTACGAAGCTTGTGGGATTTCGAAATCATCCGATTGTAACATTGATACCCTGATATAAAAAAATAGGGTAAATAAGAGGAAAATGTAGGTTTCAGACGGCATTTGATAAAGCGTGTTGTCATGAACTGTGATATTGCACCGCGAAGACGAAAAATAAACAACAACAAATACGTATTAGCGCAAAATATTGAAATATTTTTATGTCATCTCATTGTCGCGAGTGTGGTGGAGTATACGGTAGCAAGTTAACAATGGTTTGTTGTTCTTTACAGGGCAACATAACCGCCCAGGGTAAACTGCTGATCCAAGAACTGATGATAGTGTCGGATGTATCCGGAGGCAACGACAAGGGGAAGGAGCTCCAAGTCTTCCTCTTTGAACAATGTATCATCTTCAGCGAGGCTGTCGGGAAGAAATCAATGTATAGCAGCCCAACTTACAACTATAAGGCGCACATTCAGGTCAGAATGCATACCGTCGACTATTCAAATAATTTCAATTGTATTGTAACAAAATACTCATTTACTGTAAAACGTTATTCAGGTCAACAAGATGGACATGGAGGAGGTGGAGGCTCACGGTGCCTTTATAGTTCGCAGCGATGTCACCACTAAACCCAAGGCAATGGCGTTCATGTGCCGACCCTCGGAGGCCACGCGATCCAACTGGATCTCTACTCTCACGCATATCTTGACTCAACAAAAGAATTTCGGAGACGCTCTCGAAAACCCTGGCGCTTATCTAAGGGAGCAGCTTACTCGCGAGCCTCCTCGCGACCCCGCCGCGTAAGTAACTCGCGACATCTACCCGGACGCTTCAATAATACCAGATAATATGACCTAATTACTTGGCTATACTAACAATTACCATCGCACCTTAGTTCAGTTCAGAACTTTGTGTAATGTAACACATACAAAATACTTATGTACTAACCAGATATCTTGTGGGCTTGTATCTATAGATGTATTTATTGTAATAACTAACAATTGTATTATGTTTATGGTGCAATACTGTTATCCATCGAATATGTCTCAAGTTACTAACAGTCGAATAACATAAAACCGAAGTCATCTAAAAATAATATGTTCTATGTCGTCTTTGGAAGGTCAGTTAGGAAATGTTAAGGTGTCGACAAACTGCTTCGATATGGAAATAAAAGCTTTACATCAATCGTACTTGCCATAAGCAATATAGTAGTTTAAAGGCATCATTTAGCTGTCATCGTGTCCCTTTCTTAGGTTAACAACTAGATGCAATACATTTAAACTAAAGATCTGTAGTGAAGTGGTAGTGGTACACAAGTATTGAGGGCGCTGGAGGCTTGACTCCGCACACGATGTATGGGAGCACGGTGATGGGCCGCAAAGGATCATACGAGCTTAGTGGCTTAGAGGAAGCACTACTGCACACGTCTACACAAACACAATCACACACCTAATACTCTGGTATCGACACTCCACCTCGATGACTTTGTAGTGTCTCTAGACGTGTGGTGTCTAGTGCTTGATCTTTAAGAGAATAAATCATTAGGAATTAATGTGGTGATGAATGAGATAATAATGTAATGTAATCGGCTGCTGATGGCAGCGGACACGAGCGCGAGAGACGTTGCGGCAACAACGTCAACAAGCGAATGTTATATTGTCCATTTTAGGTTAACAAACACTGGAATTGATATTTAGATATATATTTATTTAGATATTTTTAACGTTGTATAGGTACCTAATTATGTTAAATAGTAGCAATAATAAAGTGATGATCGATTCTCATCGGCGGCGCTGTCGGGCCGCTCTCGTTACAACTTTATCGCTACAATCTCATATCAACATTGTAGTGATAACTCGTCATTATCACACGAGCGAGTTACACAGCGGTTGCCTTGCGCCGCATCACGTACCCATCTAGCAATAACATACTGCCATTTTAAAGTTTGCATTTAGTAAACACTGCCGAGGTTCGTCTGTTGATGTTAACTTGTTAGTACATTGAATAGATTTAGTTGTAAACGTCTGCCAATGACGTGGTTACTCTCGATCACTGCCCATATTATATACATTGTTCCTGTCCAAATATTGGAAGTAACGTACAAACGTTATGTAATAACGTGTCTAACGCACAAAGCCGAGGCGACGAAGGCAGCAGCGGAATGTTGGTAGGCACTACGTCGTAGATTATAATTGCTTCGAAAAGTAGTGGCGTTGTATTATTGCCCGGAGCTGCTGCTTTCACTTCGCCGCACCAGACCTGACCTCGCGGTACCTGACTGGACAGAGTCAGGTTACATACTACTCAATTACAAATATACTCGTTGGAAAGATGACAATCAGGAGTTTTAAGAACTATAACAAAGTAACTCCTGTTCACGAAGCATGTGTATTGTTAAGAGTTTATCTTGTTGTACTGCTGTCCTATCTACTTCTGTGTCCAGAGACAAGTAACGTCTAGCTAGACAATGTTCACAGTACACCCGTGAAGGATACACTTTCTATACTCTGACTTCCTTCGTTACGCTGTTATATTAAGACTTGTTCGCGCTGCAGAGTGTTGAGACGTTGCGTCGTTATAAATCACATCGATCGAACGATTATTTAACTTTTCGAATAGTTGTTAAGTAGGAATCGAAGAAGACTGGATATAAAGGTGTGAACGATATTTTGAATGGTCGGACTTAGACAGTATTTGCATGCTTAGGTAAGTCACACACTCACACACACATTCCACATACTTTACGCAGTAGGGTTAGTGATAGACGCCCAACGTACAATCGAATATTCTTGTCACTACTACGAATTATACGATATCAACGGGATCACCCCGACTATTATAGAACACACGATCGTGACGTACTATTTAGGTGTTTAAAGTATTTACAGTAATATTATGTAATATTACTCGCAATCGATGATCGTTCAATGTTTATTAGCGATAATCGTATATTAACCATTACAGTTTAATCAACATATTTATAGTATGATAGCCTACCTATGGTTCAAGTCACCTCTTTAACATAATTGGTATATATGTATTTACAGTGTTGTGCTCAGTTTATTACATACCCCTTATATTTGTCACAAAAATTAATTGATGTCAACTCGACTTGTTTGGAAAATTTCGATTAAAATTATTCACGTGTAGGGGCCAACACTTGAGTTCGTTCTGTTTTTATATGAATAGGTTACATTTCATTATATCGAGTGTTTTCCGTGACTCCCAGGTAGTTGATAAGAATTATAATATTATCATGAAATGCTTAAAGAAATCAGCTTTGGATGTTATAATATTAGTATGTAAGAAGTCAAGTAATGTAATGTATTGTTTGCCGAGTTATGCTATGCTACTGAGGACTAAGAGAAAGACAACAGTTGGAAGTACTGGAACTGCGCTAATGCATATTGCTTGCCGCGCGAGGCGGCGCGAGGGACGCGCGGTGGTAGCGCCGCGCGCCGCCCCGCGCCGTCTGTACGACGTTGACTACCATTGTCCGCTAGGTGAAGATGCTTTTAGACAGGAGCTACCCACGCTTCGTTATCGCTACCTAGATTACTACTCACTTAATTTAAACTGTACTTTGATTTAGATTTAATATAATTTGAGAGACGGCACTCTCGCCGACGAATCGTTTGTGATTGCACATTGTTGTGTTACGTTCTCTGCTTGACTAACATAATGTAAACGATACCTAATCATAATAAATGTGTAGTTTCTCTTCCACGATATTATACGGTCGTGGCTAACATGATCTGTACTAGTATATATTTTAGTATTTACGAAAAGTACTTTTGCTATTCTATTTCGACCAAAACTTTTAATTTCTTCGAGTGTTGCGACACTTAGGTATTATAGTTTTGTAACTGTCGTCGTATGTATATATTCGCTATCGGATCCTAAGTTTTGTATATAATATTAACGTTTAAAATCACTGTAACTTGACCATTAAAATAAATTAATGTCAATAAAATATGCTTGTGGTTTTCTGCTTTTAGTCCCGCATGCTTGTTTTATGTTTCGTTATGTTTATGAGTTGGTGGCCAGCTTCGCTACCTGGCGCCTGGCGCTACTAGACATGACACTGTGCCTACTGCTGTAGTATACTAACACGACTTACTAACCAACTAACATAGTCTAACGACACCTAGTTAGAGCAAGCTCTGATTTACTGCATAGTATAGAAAATATATTCATTTCATACAATAATAATTGTCTAATTCAAGTAAATTAATTAAAGTCATGACAAATTACACGAACTGTCCAAACACATGATATTGAAACATGTCTCTAAGTTCTTTACCCCCTGTTTTGTTTTTTTTTCACGAGTACTTTCTTCTTTTTACTTCTTTCATGCATTTATAATATCACTGAAGAATCGAAATAAGTAATAATGAAATAAAGAAAATGCTTAATATAATATGTAGTTTATTTTGATTACATAAAATGAGAGACCGAACAGATTTCAAAACTGGTAATAATTTGTTATCAAGTTGAAAGTACTCACACACACACACAGTGGTCGAAAGCTGGTGCACCTATTTTTGTTTTGTTTTATTTTGATTTTAACATTCCTATTCCCGTCCCAATAGTGTAGGTGAGGGTTGGTGCGGGCTTCGCAAGACGGAGAGTGTTCCGCCATCTTTAGGCGGGGTGCTGGCGCCCGAACTGCGGGCTCGTGCCCAGCGCCCCCACGCCAAGGCGAATACTATCAACCTACCGACAACTATTCGCGCCGATGAGAGGAAAAAGGGCGGCGGTAGCTCTGCCGTCAGCCCCACCTCACCGCCGCAAGCTAATGTAAGTATGCGAAGTGAGACCACTTCATAATATACGTACTCATATGGACAAGAGGGAATGTAATGTGTTTACATGGACCGTATATACAAACTGTAGCTAGACCAGATCTCGGGCATATTTTGAATAAGACAGTAAAGTTAAGGTATATATTCGGTGAGCTGTCAACACATGGGACTCAGTAATATAGTTACAATTATCTGATACGCCACAATGAATAATTCCATACGATTTGGGTAAGGTTTGTGCAAACTTATCTGCATAGTAGGTATAGCAGACATTATTTGAGAACAATACACGAATAATAATGACATGTAAACACATTTACTAAAGTAGATAGGACTAACAAAACGCTAACGCTTCGAGGTGCAAAGGAATAACTGGTATTTATAGAAAAGTGGATGCCTTATTAAAGTCAACACGATAAATAATACAATAATTACAAATGGTATTCGCCAAAAGTTAAAAGCTTACAAGTTACTAAATGAGTGTCTACTACAAAAATCATATCACGCCGAGTTCACAGATATAATGACATACTACTGGCTTCGCTTGCTGCTTCCTGTATTTGAACTACAAAAATGCACTAACCAAAATTGAGGGAATAATTCTACTTACATTTATTAACACTGAAATATGTCAGGCCTTTTAATTAATAAATAATACTAACTAGAACTGACCTTTTAGAAGTTGGGCGCGATATATGTATATTTAAGTAGCAATAAAGTGTTGTACATACGGACATAATGTATGCATTATGTCCTAATGTCAGACAACAGAGAGACGATATCATCGAAACTTAATGAAGGCTTAAATAGATGTAACTGATTCACTAAGACTCCACAAGAGGCAGCGATATGTATTTCTAGCTACCGTCCATTATACCAAAAGTTAAATGGATAGCAAAGACGTGTATTTTCAAAAGTAGTTATAGTTTTGTTAAAGAAATATCTACAAAAACAGCTTGATATGTATTCTTGATATGTATTGCTACAGTTCCTAATATTCTATATCAGTGAATGCCCAATCAATCTATGACAGAAAAGTCGGATTTACCTCTCAATGAACAACTCTAGACATTTTGCTAAACAGCTTATTTTACTGAGTACAAGATAAGATCGGTGAAACAACGTATTTATTCACACAGCACAACTGCTATAAAATTGTAATTATAAACACAAACTAAACGTTTAACTTAACCTGTAATCGAGACTATACTAGCCCACGATTTATATTGAGAATTTCAGTCGAAATCATAAAAGGTAAGCATTACTCAGAGGGCTTAGTACAAGTTTCATTCGACACTCTGATTGGCTGGCTCCTATGAACCAGCCAATCAGAATCAGAATGCGGTCTCATTTCATTCTCGATACACGTAAAACAAACTATAACGTAAACTAACTACGCCTAAAACGCATTTCATCGTGAAGTTTAAACATGATTAATACAAATCAGTTAGTTGTACTATCGTTAATGAGATCAATCATCTACACCACGGTTAAACACCTGTCAAAGTCAAAGCATATTTATTTCAATTAAACCATAATTTAGTTCTTTTGAAACGTCATCAAATACAAAATAAATAATAGTCTGTCAGCTAGGTGCTCATTCCAAAAGGTAGATTCGAATGGAGAAGAATGAGCAAGTTACTCCATTCGTTACTCTTTTTTAAAAAAGTATGTTCTACAATGTCTCTGATACATATTCCAATATTGTACGTATACCTATGTGAGAACAATGCAAAGACACGCTTGACGCATTATACGAATTATACAACTTACTAAAATTAAAAAGCCTGATTACGCTTAACTGGTACTTGCTTTTTAGTTAGTGTGTGGGGATAATATACAAAGGTTAGCAATGATATGGCTATCGGCCCAATACTGAAAGGCTACTCAACATTAAGTTGTAGTTAAATATCTTGCCATCTCTGTCATTTTCACAAACAACTTGTAATGGCAGAACTATATTTAACACGTTCACTGTGCATGACCCACGGGTGGGGCATATCGAGGTGCTCATTGTACGTGCATGACCTATCTGTGGAGCATGCCTTTACGAGATCATACGTGTATGACTCACGGATAGGTCAATAAATAAAAATATTATTTATACGCCTTTGTATAAATAATATTTTAGGTATAAAAAAATTAAAAACAATGCTATTATAATATCTGTTTTATAACTCACGCATTAATCAACAATTGGCACTTACACTTATGAGGATAGCCTGGCTCATCATAGCTGCACAGTCAACGTGTTACGGCAACTTTAAATTATGTGGCGTTTGAGTATTTGGGTATATGGTACGCATGTCTGATAAGCACTTAACCGAGATTGTCTGACTGTCTCTCAAACTTGACTACTTCACTACATAGTATAAAAAAAATCACTATATAGTGTAAAACGAAGTCGCTATACGCCGTCTGTCTGTCCCTATGTATGCTTAGATCTTTAAACTACACAACAGATTATGATGCAGTTTTTTTTAATAGAAAGAGTGATTTTTAAGGAACGTTTATCTATATGATACATACATATTGCACCCGTGCGAAGCCGGGGCGGGCCACTAGTCTAAACTAAATATAGGAAGAGATTACTCTTATTCGTGTAAATTGGTTACTGAAAAGTGAGCTGTTCTCTCAAGGATGTAAACAAATTGAGATTCCTACAAACATATGAGGTAGGTAGACTACAAAAACCATTTGTTGCCAGTGGCACAACTCTCCATGGTACTGCTAAGAAGACTGGCTTGATTCGCACTCTTCCCACGATACTACTAAAATTGTGATGGAATAAACTTTGTGATTATTATCTCAGTTTTTACTGTTCTGTTGGAATCAGTATTCGCTAACCATACAATCCTATTCATCTTTAAACTACATAAATTGATTAAAATAGGTCGTTACCTATGCTGAAATTATATAATTAGGTAAGTATCATAAGTGTAGTAAGTAATTTCGAAAGAAAAGTAATTAAAATGGAATGCTAATAATGGAGGCACAGGATATGTCTGGAACCGTCGACTGAACTTTTGAGTCCTAAGCAAACTGAAGTCTTAGCGCTGGTTTCACCACTTCTATATAAGTACCCGATAAACTTATGTGACATATAATAGTCCATACAAATTACGTTCTAGATTCAAATTTATGTGGTAGATAACGGCTATCCAGATATTGTGAAACAGGCCCTTAGTCTACGGCCAATCAAATGACATTTAAACTAACGTAATACGTATGTTCATAAATTCATAGCACATAATTATGTGTCAGATTTATGTCTTAAATACTCGACCACCTCTCAATTTTAAGCCGCGCACCCATTTAACCCCAAGCGGTCACCGGTGATCGCTCTCCACTAACTACATTATAGACCTTATTTCTAATATTTAGAGACTACTTATGTATGAACAAATTTAGGGGATGATTTTCAACAGGTCTGTCACTACAAATTCATTGTACAGAGATGACACAACTTAAAATTGAGTAGCCTCAGGGGCGTAGCTAGCGTCGTATCTGCCGTATCAATTATACGAGGCCCCCAAACTACGAGGGGCCCCAAAACGTGCGTAAGCAAATTTTATAAAAACTTCCCAATGTGTGATTTTATTTCAGTAATCAAACAAGTCAAAATAAATAATTTTTCCCACGTAAATAAAGCATGCGTTTAAAAGTTGACAGAAATGGGCCGAAGGAGTTTCTGGAAAGTTTTCCGATTTTAGAAATCATTAGTATTTAAAAATCTGTTATTAAAAAATTAAACAATATTTTATACGGATCCCGCCAAGACACGCTACGCCACTGAGTAACCTTTTAATATTCGGGCATAAGACAATGAGTTATATGGTTCTTTGATTGTCCTATAATCTAAAAGACCTTATCTGAAAATTAAAGGTTTATACGGACTGTATAGGTAAAAATAAGAACAATGAGATATACCTAATGTCCCATTACTAGTTAACTGTTATCTTCCTGGATGTCCGCTATGAGTCAATGTATAATAAATCACAAATACGTATATCCTAAGTATATTAAGCTGGTAGAAATGGCTGGTATTGGTCATACATCCGCAATCACCTAGACAAACGTAGCTGTAACAATTAGCACATAATAGCTGCCATATTATCAACGTCCCTATAGTGACAAGCGTTATCATAATTATAATTAAATATAATGTAATACATTTTTCTAGATAAGAATTTTATACATACTCATGATCAGCACTACATGTATTTAGATTCTTATTCAAAACAATCTCGTAGGCATTTAGATAGTGTTTATCGCTAGACAGGGTTATTATTATTTGCTTTCTTTTGTGTGTTCCAATACGAATGTCACAGCACGCTAAATACGCTTGTTATTTAGTTATTACTCTTTATTATGCAATCTATATTATGTATCTTTCTCTCTTTTCCTTGCTTCCCTTCTGTAATTTGAGAGTCAATACGTTTAGACAGTCATTGAGCTACGAAAAGATTTATAAAAAAAGATGTGTGTGTTAAGATTTAGATTTTCATCTTTACATGGTACATACCTACTATTTAGTGATTGTACTGTAATTTTATTTATGAGCTTTAAGTGCATATGCACATTTGTAATATATTATTAAGTGTTTGTTATCTTTTTCATATTTATTTATATTTATTATTTTTGGGCGCTTGTTCTTCTTTGTTGCATGTGTTATTTTAACGCTTGTCTATATTTCTTTTGTTGTAGGTATGATATACACGGGAATGCATTTCTAACATAGACTGTGATAGCGGGCCGATTGACTGACGCGCAACTAGTTATGTGCTAAGTGATTTGGAATAACCGCCGTTGACTTTTAAGTTTTAATTTATTGATGTAAATAGTAGATGTAACGAATGTATCGGACGATGCCGACGGTGTGGAGCGCGGGTGAGCATGCATGTGTCGCTTGTGACGTAGAGGGCCGCTTCCCCGTCGGCACTGTGTCTTCACTGTCTGCCTATGGTAGGGCTTGTCCAAGCGGCCGTGGGGACTCAAGTTGCGACGCGGCGCGAGCGCTAGCACCACTGCCAGCAGTGGAGCCGGGGAGCCCGGCGCCGAGGGAGTGGTCACCGAGCTGCGCGCGCCCGAGCTGTCTGAGCCCGCGTCCGACGTGATGGTCACGCCAGGCGCCACCGCCACCATCTCCTGCCGAGCTGTCGCCACTCGCGCCACTGCGTCTTGGCGCAAGACTGCACCTGAGACTCATGCACTACGTCACGGTGGCCGGTTTGCTATATCAATGACTCCAGACGGTCTCGCAACACTGACAATACACGCCTGTCGTGCGTCAGACGCTGGTGTGTATTGCTGCCTTGTCAGTAACGAGTTGGGAGGAGTGCAGAGCTCCGCGCGGCTAACGGTGGGAGCAGGTGGAGCGCCTGGTGTACCAGCAGTGCGTGCGCACCCTGGCGGGGGCCTGGTCATACAGTGGGACGAGGCGACTCCTGCACATCTCGAGTACTGCCGCGTAGGGGAGGGAGAGTGGCGAAGAGCTACTGAAACCCCAGCGGCGGCCAATACGCTGGCGCTAGAAGAGTTGCCTGCGGGACAGTACAGCTTCCGACTGATCTGCACGCGGAGTGGTGCGCCCGGGCCTGCGTCGGGCCCCGCGGCGTGCGGCGGCGGCGGTGCGTGGCAGCGCGAGCAGTTCGCGCGCCGCTACAGCGTGGAGGAGGAGATCGGCCGCGGCCGGACCGCGCGCGTACTCGCAGCCAGGGACACCGGCACCGGACAACGAGTAGCATTAAAACAGGTTAGAACTTCGCAACATTGTTTTAAATTACATCGGTTTTTTGCCGACGCCCGAGACTTACGGTTACTGTAAAATCTCCAGGTGTTAGCGGGTCGCGGTGCGGACGCGATGCGGGAGTACCGCATCCTGTCCCGTACTGCGCACGGCGCGGTGGTGCGCGCAATGGCGTTATTCCCCGAGGTGCCTCGCGCGGGCGCTCACACTCTAGTGCTAGAGATGGTGAGCGGGGGCCCACTGTTGGACTGGGCCGCCTCCTCGCCGCACCTCTACACGCAACACATGGTCGCGCACCACACTAAACAACTACTGTCTGCGCTCGACTGGCTACATACCATCAACGTCGCACATCTTGACGTCAGGGTAACTTAACGTTGAATTTTATAGCAGTAATCATGCACGTAACATTTTAGCTCAGAATTTTTAAAAACCGATATCAACTTAACCCAGATGGTCAACAGATAGCTGTAAATAGCAGATGATAGTCTTACATCAAAATCCCCCCAAAAACTATTTGACAAATGGCTAAGAGAAAAAAAATGATGGCACAATACCTGAGTACGGCAATTAAGACTATAATACCAAAACATAATTGTAAAATTGATAATTTCAGCCTGAGAACGTGCTGGTGGAGTTAGGTGGGTCGGTACCTCAACTGAAGCTGGTGGACCTGGGCTCCGCAGTAGAGACAGGGGAGGGCGGGTCGGGTAACACTGGTCGCGAGGTGCTCCCACCGGCGCCTGCGCAGCTGGAGTTCGCTCCGCCAGAGTGCGTGCTGGGCCGGCCGCCTGCACCCGCCTGGGATGCCTGGGCCGCCGGCGTGTTCCTCTACGTGTTCCTCACAGGGGTAATTATTTCTATATCATATAAATCTCTAAACATATCAACGAAGTTAAAACAACGGGGATAAGAATGTCTTATTGACACACAAATGTCACATACCAAAAATTTAGAAATAGCCATGACTTTCTTATTAGAGACGCTCTGTATCTGCTTATTTCTGTTAATCGATGATTTTCTGGCGACCATGATCAACAAGTCATCAGTCCACTGCTGGACTATGTCGATAGTGTATTGCAGTGAAAACAATATCCCAATCAATCATACTTTTTGTCAATAGTTGTCGCCGTTCCTGGATGAGTCGATAGAGGAGACGACGGCGAATATAATAAAGTGCGACTACTGCTTCCCGCCTGAGCACTGGGCCGAGGTGGCCGAGCGCGCTCAGCACATGATCCGCGGCCTGCTCGAGCCGGCACCCGCCAGGCGCCTCACGCCACGAGACGCGCTGCAAGACCCATGGTTTGACGAGGTCAGTATACATACAAACCTACATACAATGTTTATTCTAAGTAACATGAAGTAAAATCTCCTTAATACTTGGACAGACCCCAATGCGTATGCGCAGACGTAAGCCCATGCTTACGCTGAACACGCACACGCCACTAAGTTGTACTGTATGGAAATGTACATCGACGTCCACGTTTACTTTACACAAGCGCCGTGTCCCGTCTCACACAATTCCATACATTACAACTCATTGTGCGACACATGACAGCCAACTGAGTTTGCTTTGAGAAATGAATTATACACTAAGAGTATAGAGATACTGAAGCTAGTTTAATTGTATCTTCAGGCACCCACCACAGCATTATCAGCGACGCAATTGAAGACGTTCCTGGACCGACGGCGTCCCGCGGGACACGGAAACGTGTTGCACTCCCTGCGCTCCCCCAACGACACCTGACGCGAGGAACATGCGTCGGCGCAGTAGTGCGCGCGCGCAACCAACACTAGCTCGCCGATACATGTCGATGCATACATTGCCTACCTATACCAACCTTACATTAGAAGATTGTGTTACTCAGTCTTTCTTAACATTCTATAACTTGACTACCAAGTCACCGTAAGCATGCATCGACGTCTCGTAACCTGACCAAGTGAAGCGTCGCTTCTCGAACTGATATTAAATTTGAAGCGACACCGAAACATTGGGGCGACCAATGTCTCACTAAATATCCATACTTCTTGTAGCCAACATTTTATGTGCAAGTAATTAAGGAACAAAGGCGCTAGCCAAAAGTAGATCTTATTCAATAATCACTCAATAGGAATATGTTATAATTTCTTAAGCTGTAGTTTACTGTAATTGTTCTATAGTCAATGTGCCCACCTATTGAGTTTGGTATTTTAGTTATTTGGATTTTATTCGCGACTTGTTTGCTGATTTTAAACATTGCTATCGGTAACTTCAGCAAACCAATCTGGTGCCGCGTCATCACTCGACCGGTTACCGACATTATTTTAAATCAATAAATTAATCAACGAACAACTCTTGGCCTATATAAATTTTATAATATTCCTAAAGTGGCCGATTTTAAAGAAAAGTGTCTGTGATTTATGCTAAAAATGAATTTTTCATGCTTATTCCTAATCTTATCGTATGTACTTGTTAAATTAATAATAAATTGATTATACACTAATGAATTGTATATAGAATTAAGTTTTAGTGCGTCATTTTATTTTATTTTATTTGTGACCAAAATGCAAACTATTTGATCGTGTACGTGTGATGTATCGCGTCATGGGATAGTATATACGTGAGATATTATGTAGGACTATATAATACGATAGATGTAACGATGGAATGTACGCCGCTACACTGCCGCTCGTGCGCTCTGCCGCTCAACAGACGCCTTTCCAAATGTAACTCGTAACCTTAGTTATTGTAAGTAAAGTATTACTTTGGGCAATGTTAAGCTTTTATGTCAGTCGAATATGAATACATGAGACAACTATTATAAAGGAATTAGGAAAACTAAGATATTGTATACTGCTTATTAATTCTAAACTAAATGACATTGACGTGGGGCGCTGCGTTCACTGAATTAACGTAAATAAGTAATACAAGTACCTACACGTTTTAACTAAAATATATTTTGTATATTCCATTCGTATTTTGGTTAAATGCAACTACAGAACTCATTATGGGAAACAAGTTGTACATGGGTGGCTACAACGAAACGCCTTACAGGTCTGTGATCTATATATTTGAACTTGAATGTTTACTTAGGTTCTAAATGAGCTTCGTTCTAAAGAGTAGTATCTTTTTAAGGCGTTGTCCACTGTCTCACGCACAAATGTAAACTTCACTGACGCACTACGGGGTTACAAATTGCTGGGTAAGAGCTACAGGGGTCAAAGTATTTAGTAGTTGTCGCCGCACTCTTTGGCCGCTCCCAATTGTCAAATGTTAGTGCCCCAGTCGCATTTGAGCAGAACCGCGACGGTTTTAATCTTGTAACATGAATTGAAAATCGAGCGCGAAAAAACCGCAAGTGCAAGTATTCAGATTCTTGTTACACAAATTACGCGGTAGGAAACCGCCGCGGTTCCGCTCTAGTCCAGCCGGGGCCTTAGAGCGGCCATCAAGTTTGCCGATAACTGTATTTGTAGGGAACAGACCAAAGACAGGTGTTGGGATCTCATTGAATAGTGAGAGAGGAACGTTTTGTGTAACAAAAAGGTCACCACTCTCACGTAATTTTATTTGTAGCTGGCAACTTCTAATCCGTACTGCGTCAGTGTTGCATTATAATAATATGTTCCTGTATAATTTCCACTTCGTATCAATAAGCAGCTACCCGCGGTGTCATTATTAGATATCATAGTGTCTAAAGCTGATGTATATTATAAAATCGTAATACATAATTTTGAAAAAAATACACCAAATGTTGTTTTATTCTTTACTAGCGACCCGCCCCGGCTTCGCACGGGTGCAATGCAAAATATACCTACTACAGAATGTCCTTATACACAACGTTCACAGCTTTTTTGTCATTAGCCAATACAAACATGTTTTGCTTAGACGTTACTCTTGACAGCGCGACATGTAATTGGCCATGTGAAAAACACTCAACACTCAAGTCTAATCCTGCAACGTTAAAAGTTTGACCCTGCGATTTATTAATGGTCATTGCAAAAGATATCTTTACCGGAAATTGTAGGCGTTTAAATTAGAACGGTAAATCTGATGGTATCAGAGGAATTCGGGGCTTCCAAGAAATATGGTTTTAAGGTAATCCTATCTAACCTAATGTACTTTCAATACTATTAATATAATAATAATAATAAAAATTAAAAGATAATCAACAACAAAAGATACTTATTCTATTCAGTTTAATTAATTCTTGATATTCTCCTCGCTAGAGAGCTCCGATAAACGCGTGCGATCGCTGCAAATCATAAAGTACTATAAGGCGAAGCGCGGCCATCGAAGCGCTATTTATAGGCACGCGCCGCCCGGCGCAAACAACTACGACCCTGCATTTTAAATTTGTAATATCTTCGGTAATATTCACTTAAATTACATGCTTTAAAAAGCATATTGATCTATAATAAATGCACAATTTATTTAAGGTACTTAATTGGATAAGGATTAATGCTGTATTGTTTAAAATCACTTCGTAAATAACCATTTTTTAGTAAAGAATAAAAATGGTTATGCTGGGTTATCCCTAAGAGATAGACATATACCATCGCGGACTTTTTTGTTGAACTTTTTAAGGTGAACAATACTGTAGTATATTATTTTGGTCTATCTCGTAGGGTTCAGCCAGCGTTTGCAATATAAGCGCAAAAAAACGTGCTTATTTACGACATCACATTAGAAACCTTTAAATTTATCAGTGTTTCTCTACTATATTATGCATTTATTATACATACAAACCTTCCTTAAGAATCACTCTATCTATTAAAAAAAACCGCATCAAAATCCGTTGCGTAGTTTTAAAGATCTAAGCATACATACGGACATACAGCGAAAGCGACTTTGTTTTATACTATGTATTGATTTTTACCCGACTGTAGTTTGTCTGTCTATCGACATCATTGACATCATACCCTATACTCGGAATTTTAATTCGATTCCAGATTTGACTATTTCAGTGTTGCAACGTTATGACAAGTACTAAATAGTGACGTTGCGAAATTATTCGATATGGAAATGCAATATTTCTGGATCGATTCTTCTCGTTTATAATTTTACTCCCGTAAACTAAGTATATCAGGAAATTAAATATTTCTGAACCGATAATTTAGTTTTGACGATTAATTAACGATCTGAGACTTTTGTTTTATTATTGTGTGTGAAATAACTAAAAAAATGTAATCATGAAGGAACATGACAAATAAAACAGATAGAATATGTATTATGGTAATAAGTTATTTTATAAATTGTCGCCGTCATCGCTATCGCTATTCTGTCACTTTCTGTAACATTTATTATAAAACACACACACTGATTGTTTATCGATTTTTGTGTTCATCACTACACTATTATATTATTATGTGGTATCATTATTTCACAAAATGACAGTAGCTATTGTCAAATCAGGAATGTAATTAAAATTCTGACTATATATACACATCATGTTCCTAAAGGTGTGACGTCCTTGTATTGGCTTCATGGGGTGCAATAAAGTCTAAGAAAAAAAGGAAGAGGAAACATTTACTCGAAAAATTAGGCCAACTCTAGAGAGCTGATATTTAGACTCTGTCGTGTCTGTAATGGCCGCGGTGATCCACGTATTTAGAGGCTTCTTTTCTCCAAGGGTAAATTTTTCAATCATCAGCTGATTGAAAAATTGAGTGATAAATTGTCAAATGTAGAATAAAATTGACATTTGATAATATGGAACAATTGTCAAATATCCAAAGTTATTCCTCAGTTCAAATTTATCTGGCGGTAGAAAAATCGGCTCTAAAGGCCAATTTTTCAATGCTCAGAGTATGACAATCGATAAACGCTATCTTTAAATTCATTTTAATTATTTATTGACACTTAAAAAGAAAGTAAGAATAGACATAGCAAGCAACAGGTGCAAGTAAAACGCAAGATTCACATCAATAAGCAACATTTATTTATTAATATTAAAAAATCCAATTATCCTAATAGGTAGTAAGAAAGGTATTACTTATACAATACATGGTAAGGTATAGAAAATTATTAAACATTAATTTTAATTATTATGTTTCAGTGTCTATGTAAAAACTACTTTATTATACTTCACATGGACACAGGCCAAAGAGGATTAAATATAAGTAATAAAGACATATTTAATTTTAATTTCACAAAATAATTTGTCGTGTCATAGATCATTGACACAAATCCATGAAAGTTTACACATAATAATTATAAATATTTTATTTTATTTTATTTTACAATTTTAGGAAAACTTACAGCTAGGTATAACATAAGGATAGATTAAATTATAGATAAACGGCCAATAACAAGTTTCCGCTTATAGGTAATTAAATTACTAGTTTAAAAAGACAGCATATGACGAAACAAAAAAAAACTGTTTAGAAAAACAAAAAGAAATAAGATAATTATTATGTTTGAAAGAAACTTGAAGACATTAATTTCTTTAATCTACGTACGCTAGTGTGAAACAAATCCAAATCAATCCTCCGGCACTCTGAATTGTATGTCCGACACGCTCTTATCATGTATGAATTTTGTCTATAAACAGTGTTGGTAGACGGGACGTTGAGAAGTACAGGTTTGCGCAGAAAAGCAGAAGGCACACGCAACCCTATTCTGTCCACCAACTCCGGTATATCTAATGAGCCATTTACTATATTGAACAGGAATGATAAATCTGCAATTTTACGGCGCTCACATAATGGAAGGGTGTGAAACTGCTTGCAACGATCTATATAGTTATTGATGTAAGTTTTAGAGCGAAACTGGATGTACCTAAGAAATCTCCTCTGAATACTCTCGACACGATCTACATATATGGCGTAGTTAGGATTCCAAATCTGGGAGGCGTATTCCAGGTGACTGCGGACGAACGCACAGTATAAAATTTTTAATGTTTTTATATTACGAAATTCAGAAGAGACTCTGAAGATGAAACCCAAAGCCTTAGATGCCTCATTCACTATTTTATCTATATGGGTATCAAAAATTAGCTTTGAGTCAAAAATCACACCAAGGTCCCTAATGTTGTTAACTCTGGATATTGTGCACCCTGAGAGTTTGTAGTCATAAAGGACAGGACTCGGTTTGCGTGTGAAAGTGCATACGAAACATTTGGAAACATTTAGGTCCAGTTTGTTGACGACACAGTACTCCTGAAAGTTATCAAGATCCTTCTGCAGAGATATTGCATCCAATTCTGTCATTATCGGTCTCAGTATCTTCATATCATCTGCATAAAGTAGTATTTTAGAATTTTGAAAACATGCATCAATGTCATTCACAAAAATATTGAACAATAGGGGTCCCAGAAGGGACCCTTGAGGCACCCCGGAAGGGACACGGACAGATCTTGATGAGTATCCGTTAAGAACCACTATCTGACATCTACCCTCCACATAGGATACAAACCATCTGTACAAGTCACCTCTGATACCTATACAAGCCAGCTTATACAATAGCTGAAGATGATCTATTCGATCGAAGCATTTGCTGTAGTCGGTGTATATAACGTCCACCTGGGACCTCATTGACATATGTTCAGACAAATAATCACTACAGACAACAAGATTAGATGTAGTGGAACGGCCCTTAATGAATCCATGTTGTTGCTCCAAGAAGGAATGTTTAAGAGTAGAAGATAGCTGTGTATGTACTAGTTTTTCTAAAATTTTGGCAAATATACACAATTTGGATATTGGTCTGTAGTTTTCTATAACGTTTTTAGGTCCTTTTTTATGAACAGGCGTTATATACGCCGACTTCCATACAGTTGGCATTACTCCAGCAGCCATAGACTTCCGATATAGTATTGTCAACGGGACAGTCAAACTTTTAGCACATTTAGATATAAAGATTGGCGCAATGTTATCTGGCCCCGCCGACTTGTTTACATCCACGTGCTTAAGTAATCGAAATACCTGCTCTTCGACTATCTCAACGGAGCAGATATCTGCTGTTGAGGACTTATGGTGTGTGGAGGGTACACGGTCCGAGCCAGATGAAAGAGGTAATTCCTGAAAGTTAGAATAAAAAAAGTTGCTGAACATATTACAGATGTCCTCTCCATTGTTGGATTTAATTTCGCCATACTTAAATGTGGAGGGATAAGAATTAGTTTGCCGTTTGCTCTTAACATAAGTCCAAAATGACTTTGGATTCTTCAAAATTGCTGATTCAATATTTGTGATGTAATCAACATACATTTCCCTTTCCAAGTCTTTGGCCCTTTTACGCAACATAGTAAAGGACTGAAAATCACTTAGATTACCATATTTTTTATATTTGGAATGGTATTTTGATTTTTCTTTTAAGATCTTTACAAGGGGACTTTTGAACCAGGGGGGATACTTACTACGCGGCGTTATTATTTTAGTAGGGACATAATCTACATGTAGTTGTTTAATAGTATCATAGAAGAAGTCAACAGCGCTCTCAAGGGATCTGCAGTTCAACTCCATATTCCAATTAACTTTGTTCATTTCCTGATTTATGGCTATATAATCAGCTTGATGATATAAATTACTTACTCTAGGACGGCTGGGTAGCTGAGGTAGGTGAACAAAATCCGCAGAGACACACAAAGCCCTATGGTGTGGATCCTCTGACACCAATGGATCCGTACAGCAAGCAATACTAATATCGTGATTTGATAAAATTAAGTCCAGTATCCTATCATTACTGTTACTATATGGATTGTACTGCGACAAGTTGCAAGCATTTAAAATATCACAGAAGTTTGTCTGGATATGACCTTGTACGTTACCCGGAGACAGATAACTACAGCCCTTCCCAGGAATCCACTGAATGCCGGGCTGGTTAAAATCACCTAAAACTAAGAATTTGTCAGCCGCATGTTTCATATTGATGTCGAGTAAATTGCTAGAAAAGTTATTTAACTGAACCATAAGTGAATCTCCAAGAGGTTGGTTGCAAATGTAAACAACGCATAGATGTAATTTGAAGGAGGTAGGAGGTTTTTTATTATTAAGAGTTAAAGTTACCCACAAATCTTCCGCGGACGAGCGCCACTCACTTCGATCGTCAGCCGCAATTTCGCGTCGCACGGCAATTAGAACACCCCCTCCCATTGATTGATTTGTATGTACATAATTCCGATCTCTTCGCCACACAATATACCTATCATCAAATAATTCACAATCCTGTATACCCCCAATGAGCCACGTTTCTGTCAAGCAAATTATATCAAAGCAATTCACAGCCACTGATCGATAAAAACTAACCGTTTTCGTTCGCAGTCCCCGAACATTCTGATAATAAATGCTAAGAGGCACCATCGATGAGTATTAAAAGAATGTGAGTACATCTATGCAAAATAGTACGTACATCCAGCCCGCAGATAAAAAGAACTGATTGCA